TCTCTCTCTCTCTCTCTCTCTCTCTCTCTCTCTCAACCGACCGTCCATCATCTGTTGTGTGTGTGTGTGTGTGTGTGCGAATAGATCACGGCCTTACACAAGCTGTGGATTGTTGCAGATGCCTGCTGTTGTGACCGATACCAGAGTGATGCGCCTTTTCTCTTTTTTGTCCAGAATGGGTGTGTGTAGGTGGAGGGTGGATGTCAAGAGTGGGTTGGTGTGGGTATCAGTATCTGTCAATTTGGCTTTTTTGTATGGTGCAAGTGGTATATCAAGCGAATGGATATGTGGCACTTCCTGCTCAACGACACATGCGGGAACCTTGCATTGCTATGATTTGGTGTTTCTCTCTCCCTCTTTGTTTTCTGTGTTTTCTCGTTTGCTCTGCTTATGTGCTCTGTGTTGATCGCTTGTTTGGCCGTGTGTACGTATTTGCGAACAAACCCCTTGGGCCTATCTGGGAAGCATCAGGCCGTTGCCTATTCGACTGGGTAACCAGGAGTAGTACAAATAAGCCGATTCTATGTTTTCCAACATTACGGCCTGGGGACTCTGAGCCTGGGTTCTTTACGGCCCCTGACACCTGAACCAGAGGGTAATTTTTAAACAATATGCCCCCTTCTGGGACCGGTCTGCCCTCCCTCCTACTTAGTGTTTGAAGCGCAGGAGAAAGAGAGGAACACGTGTCATCTAGGCAGTTTAAAATGTGTGTTCGAGTCATTCCCTCTCCTGAACAGCTAAGCTTTTGGTAATCTGATAAACTGCGGCCTCATACGTGCACAATCGCTGAAAGCCTGAAGCTCATGGGCGAATTCTACAAAAGCACCCCTCCCCCTGATCCACTCCCACCAGATAACATTCACAATCGTGGAAAGATAGTGAGGTGACAGATGGTGCTGCCGTCTTGTAGTCGAACGTCAACTCCTAGCTGATGCATTCCCAATTTTGCCGAAAGATAGTGAATTCTCCAAAATTCGTCTATCCTGCCTTCCGGCGGTCGTACTTCAGGAAAGAGGCCCCCCACGGCCTCTCTCTTGTCCTCCCTTTTTGCTACTGATCTCTTGGCCGCCCTCCACTGACCTGTTTTCTCTCTTTTTTTTTTTTTTTTTTTTTTTTTTTGTGCCCATATTTCATCATAGAGGTACTGACCTGTTTTCTCAATTCCTTTTGAATGTCTTTGGTTTCCTGCCATGTTTTCTTATCAAAGAAGTCACTTTTCCTGGTAAAGCACCACTGCGCCTTGCCTTCCAGATGGCCCATAATGTCAGTAGACTCAGTACCCCGTCATAATGTTAAGGACTTGACTTAGAAGACCAGCAAATCTGTCAGTTGAAGAGAAATTTGTAGCTGTTATTAGCAAACACGGCTTTAACAAGCTCATCAGTACTGCCCTAAAATCGCTATGATCCGTCCCACAGTCTCCTTTCACACCCGCAATTCCGAAAGCAAGCGTGGTATGCCCTTCTCCGTATTTTCATGAAATTGTTACATCTTGCAAATCCATAGATGATAGGGCTGCGTACATAGATCCCTGTCTTTTGTCATTCTTTCATTCACTGACACCCGTTTGTTCATCAGAAGAACTGTTGTGTGTAGTCAAGCCTCTGGAGACATACTTTTCTCTTTTAGTTTTGACCTCCTCTTCTCGCAAGACGGCCGAGGTATAACAGAGAGGGCAGTTGAAATGAATACCTGTTTGTCTTTTTCTCCGTCTTTCGGCTTTGCTGCGGATCCAAAGACACATATCTCTCTCTGGTCATAGCCCAGCTTGACTGTGTAGATCGGAGTTGTACTACGCGGTTGATCGGTCGTGCTTGCCCTCATGACGTTGGAGTGCCGAACCTATTTTGCAGTGTCAAATCCCTGTTCAGAAAGTTTCGAACAAGGACAGATTGCCCAAATGTTATTCCCTGGTACTTCTTTTGGAGAAAAATTCAAGATGCCCATTCTTACGCCTGGAAGGTTCAACAGGGTTGGGAAAGAAGTTGCTTTTTTTTTGTGTGAGGGAGGGGAAACTTCAGTGAAGTTTTTAGGCGCCATCGTAAGCCAGCCTTTGATCCCTTCCCACCCCTCCATTGACACCCTTTATACATCATGTGAGTTTTTTGTAGTTGTCTTGATTGTGAATCCCTTTACTCCTCGTTATCCATGTCTCTGTTGGTTTTTCTAGTGGCTTGCGAAGTGCACCGTACAGCACACCTTACGGGGTGCCCACGTGTACGAGGTACTAATTACCATGTTTTTTTTGTTTTTTTTTAAATTTGTTTTTAATTACCATGTTTTTTATTCGGGTGAGGATGGTAGTGTGTACCCTGTTCCCAGTGTCTGTGACCTTTGAAAGCTTCTGACCAGAGTTTATGTGGCTGCACGTGCAAAGTGCCGATTTTTGTGGGGGTCCTCTTGGCCAATGACAAGTGTAGACAGTTGGTGGACACTCGTTGCAGGTAGAGAGACGGAAAATGACGATGTTCGGTTTGCTGTTTTTTTGCATGCGCAGTCCACCTGAAGTCGACCTGAGTCTATCGTATCGTAGACAGTTGGCGGACGTTTACCGAAAGTAGAGAAGGAAGAAGTGGATCCTCGGATTGCTGTTTGTTGAATGTGCCTTGCACTAAAGGCCACCTGCATTTTCACTTGTGGTGATAGAATGTGTAATGTGTAGTAGTGATTCTTATGATGTGAAAGCTGTACATGAGATCTGATTCGTCGAAAATTCCGCTGTCCGGTGGGTACACGGGGAAAAAACTGTTTTGCTGAATGTTGTGGCTTTGGTGTTTGCGTTTTAGGCGCGTGCAAAGGCCGAGGCTGCGAGGTTGAAGGTGGCACAAGAGGCTCATAAGGAGGCACACAACGCACGTCAAGAAGCTCTGCAGAGGAAGCGAGCGGATCGGCTGGCGGCGATGAAAGAAGCTGAGTCTGCCCTCAGCCGTGAGGCACTGAGGAGGAAGGAAGAGAAGAACCGTGCACGGGAACTGAAGCGTGGTATGCCCAGGATTAGGATCTCAAGAGCACACTAGGAGATTGCCTGGTCGCATGCCATGGGGCCCGTAGGACGTGGTTTCTGAGTTTGGTGCAGAAGGAACCCCACTTGTGTGTCGAAAGGACTGCGGTATTGTGATTCACGCTTGTTTGCATTTTACTGGTGGCTCGTGTTCGTCAGGAAAGTCATGCTTCTTGTGGTTTGGGATCGACCGCCCACCCCCTTGACCGAAGCCTTCATCTGGCTTGGATGACCTTTACCCTCGCTGCACTTGTTGGTCCCCGGTCCAACCTGATGCCCTCTAATTTGAGAGATTCAGGCACTACTCAATTTTTGTGATAGATAGTGCCAAATAATGATTCTGATTTGCCTGTCAGCTGTTGTGTTGGGGTGTCTCATACTGAGTGGCTGTAGTTGGTGGCTGCCTTTGATGACGAAGGGATTAGCTGACATCGACCCTGCACGGTTGTATTCAAGGGGATTCAACTTTGTCTTTCCGTCTCCCCGCTGTTTCTCTGTTCTGCTCGGCGGTTTTCAACTGCCCTGTCCGGGTCTGTACTCCGTTTCAGGGGCCGGGAAGGGGGAGATTTTCCTCTTCTTTTTTTTTGTTTTGGTGTGTGTGTGTGCGGGGGGGGTAGTATTCTTTTGTTCTCCTCCTCTTGTTGCTGATGGATTTCCTTTGCTTTTCCTTTCGGTTTCTGTTTGCTTTCGCTTTTGATTTCTGTAATCCTGTCCTCTCTCCTCAAAAAAGTTTTCTTACCGAGCAATGAAGAGCGGGAGGGAGAACGAACATTGCAATCGCTTGTAGTCGAAACTACAAGAAAGAAAGTTGCTGTGCAGCCATTTGGGAGAAGGGGACATCTGTAATGGGACGTAGGGCGGATTTGTGGAATTTTGTTTTGGATGCTAAGGAAAGGTCATGTTGCAAGAAGCGTGGCATGTGGCACAGGTGAGGAGGAGCTGAGTTGTGTGACTGAAGCATGTGGCAAGTTGTGTTCAGTGTGTATGCCGACGACCGCGGCATCAGCAGCAGTCGTGGCGGTGGCAATGGTAGCAGCAGCAGGAGCAGGACGTTGACCACCACAAGATTGCGGTCCACCTTGTAAAGTGAAAGATATACAATATGATAATTATTATTATAATGATAATTATCGTATATTGGATATCTATAATATGATCTGGATATCTTGGTGGCATGCAGTTGTGAAAGGGACATCGCTTGCTTTGCAGCGGCAGCAGGCCGTTTGCTCACACACGTACAGTGGCGCCTATAAGGCGTTTGTTGATTGTTTCTGGGACGACCGGTGATATGGTGGTGATGTATGCAATTGGAGGACAGGAAAGGGTGGTTGCATGATCTGGGATAGTGGAAGGAAGACACTGATTTCTGTGTGTTCGTCGTACCCATCTCTGAAACATTACTTTTCCTTCAATGGGTTTATGAATGAATACCTTCCTTCTTTTTCAAAGGCTGCATTTGCATGTCCTAGCATAATGTAGTCGACGTCCTTGGAACTTCTCCGACTTCGTGTGTGATGACATGGTATTTATGATTGATCTGATGCGCAGAAGTGATTGTTTTTGAAGGGGTTTTTTCCATCACAGGTAGTTTTACGTGTGGTGTGACTGGCTTAACGTTTGGCGTGGAGAGCATGAGGAGCTGCAAGTGTTGGTTGCGAACAATTCTGTAAGTGAATTCTCCCTGCCCCCTTTATGCGTCCTCGTGCAGGGGCCATGCTGATCTTCTTAAAAATCTGGACCGTTTCTCGATTTATGCGTCCTCGTGCAGGGGCCATGCTGATCTGTGTATCGTTCCAATATTTTCTCATCCCATACAATTCAAGTGACGTTTTGTGAATTTACGGCAAGCAGAAGGCCTACCTTAGGGACCTTCGGGACATCCGTTAAAATTGGAATGATACACGGACCTTTTGGGGTCGAGATGTTTGAAGTGGAAGGATGTCAGCTGCATGTCGTCCATGCTGGGTTTTAGGGTTTGGCCAGAACTTGAGAAAATGATCAACTTGGATTATGCGGGGTCTCGCTCCACGATGGAACACTCCACATGCATTTGGACGCTTTCTGGACCAGGTGCATTTGGACGAGTTGGCGTTGTTGGGGAGGGAGAGGGAGGGGGGGGGGGGGGGGTTGCATTTTTGGGGTTGAGATGTTTGGAGTGGAAGGATGTCAGCTGCATGTCGTCCATGCTGGGTTTTAGGGTTTGGCCAGAACTTGAGAACATGATTAACTTGGATTATGCGGCGTCTCGCTCCACTATGCAACACTACACGTGCATTTGGACGCTTTTCTGGACCAGGTGCATTTGAACGAGTCCAGCATTCTGAATGCAGCCAGTTCAGAAAAGCGTCCAAATGCCTGTAGAGTGTGTTTTATAGCGGAGCAATGCCCCTGGATGGTTCTGACGGTGGCATGGATGTCTTGTTCAATTTTACAGTGGTCTTATTTTTTTGACACCCTCGTCCGTGGCAGGGTGCTTCTTGGGCATCTATCGCCTGCTGTACGAGGTTAACAGTCTATCTAGCAATGAATGGGTCAGGGGGAAAACAAAGTGAAAATATAAAAACCCTCCAGGTCTGACGCATTGGTCTTTTCCTGAAGATCTGGGTTCTCACCTTGCTCAGTTGGTGGCATCGGTGGTTTATCATATGGCTATGCAGCCAATCCTAGTGCAAGCGAAAGGGCCTCACCGCACAGCACACGAGTGCATCTGCCCGAAGAAGGTGGCGAAATACATTCATTACAATTTATATCAAACAAATGAATCTTTCCACTTTGTGCTGGGAGATGCACTCGTTTCGTCTTTTGTTTTGTGTGCCGTGCTGCGAGGCTCGGAATCAGGGCAGGTGGTTTCTTCAGCTAGTCTCCAGCCAGAAACGTGTCCATCTGTTTTTCCCTTTTTTGTTCCTTTCAAGTACTGGGCATCTTCTTTGTCTCGTTGTAGACAGAAGAATGCAGTCGTTATTATGTTGCACTGTATTAGTGATGACGGGTAGCAGACCATCTTTCTCTCCTTGTAGACAGAAGTTTCTTCAACGCAGTCTCTATTGTGTTGTTGCACTCTATTAGTGATGATGGGTAGCAGGCTATCTTTGACATAGCCCGGTTGTGTGCGGTCTGGATCTCATCAATTCACTAATTCTCTCGCTAACTGCTACGGATGTCTGATGTCTATTGTGTCTGTGGGTTGAGATGAGGGGTCGGTGTTGCGAATTGCCCCACAATCAGGTAGAGTCTTGCTGAGCACCGCGATGGTCAACTCTCGCTGAGCCCCATATCTTCCAGATGAAGGGTGGAGGTTGCCTATAGGTCTCCAACCCTATTCATGCCGCGAGATAGAGTTCCCCGATGTATCTTGCCTTATTCATGTGCGTACATCCATCTGCAATGAACCGAGAACCGCGAACCTCACACCGTCAACATTGTCTATATGAAACTCTTGATGCTCAATGAATGACAATCAGAAATAATATCAATGCAGAGTCTGCAGACCAGTGTCAAGTCAAAGGAGAAGAAGAGTAGGAGGAGAATAAACTTGAATAATAGTCCCCATTGGTGCGGGGGCGGGGATAGCCTGGGGCAGTGGTGCAGGGGTGTGGAGGCGGGGGTGCAGGGG